GTCTTTTCATTATCTGTGTCTCAAACTGGCCTCAAACCATCTGACTGTAAAATTCAGTTTTCTGCTTACCACATCCTCAGTTGACCTTACCCCATCTTCTGATGGAACTGCAGATTTCATCCTTTTGAAACAACTTGAATAGAACATTGTATATTTCCGTGTTAAGTATTAATAAGAACACCTGACTACTAAAAGGGATCCGTGTCTTAAATGTATTATGGCCAGTGCTTATTATATTTAAAAATGTTCCCTTTGCCCCCTCTTTTAGTGTTCGGAAGGATCCTCAAACCAAGAAAATACAAATTATCTCTTCCGTCTTTAAAGTTACAGCATATGTAAGTGTTGAGGGGAAATTTGCAACCAGTCAATTTTATTGCTTATTATTAAGACAAGTGTTACAACTGGAGTTAGCAACTGGGACAATGTTATGCCTTGGAGAAGCATAGTTAACAGAACACACACGTGTATATACAGAAGATCGTTAACATAAGCTAGTTTTCCGTTAAAATTTAAAGTTGATAAGGTATGCTTTTATTTGAAGAACAGTATGAACTTTTTCCCCCGGATTCCTTTCTGTTGTCTGTGTCTAATTATAGCTCTTACTCATTTTAGAGCTTAATCTGTGGCTCAGATGAGGTAGAACACAGTCCTCTAGACTGTCAAAACATAATTTATAAGGCAAATAAGTAAGAATGACATACATTTATGTCACAGAATCTGATACTTGAATTTTATTATCATACAAAAGATTATTAACACATATTAAGCAGTTTCTAAGTATATGTGTTCAATCGCTTAACAAATATTTATTGAATATCTAGTGTGTATCAGCTACTGTGCTCGGCTGGGGCTCCGTGATAAAAGAAACAGTCCCAGCCCACCTAGTATGAATGGGTCGTGTGCTTAAAAGAAATAAAAGCAAAGACAGAAGAAAAATGCAAAACAAATTTTTGCGATATGAGCACTTTTTTTAAGGATAGGATTTCCTTTTGGACTATAAATTCCTTACGGTCAAGACTTCTGCATATTTTGTGTAGTACATATGTATTGTTAGCATAGTAGACGGTGGTGTGAATAAATATTTTTAAATGTTAGTAGTTAACTGCCAGCGGATTGTCAAAGATTTGATATATGTTTTATGACATTTTAACAGAAAATATATACTAGCTAAATGTGTTGATGTTATTTAAATGTAGCTTACTCAGGTTTGTCTTTTTCAGGATTCTGCTGGTGTGTGCTACCCGTCAACTAAGAGTCATGAACAGACATTCTCTTACTTTATCGTGGACCGTGTCAAGCGTCATGTTCACGTTTTCTACCACTGTTACGGTGTGGGGGAAATGTCTTAATGTTTTTTCAGAGTACTATATTTACTATTTTTTATTTACCAGGGTTTTTATTTTAATACAGATTTCTAGATAAACATTTACTCTGCAAGTTACTTCAAGTAAAATGTAAAGAACCTGCTTAGAACAAAAGAAAACAGATACCAAGATGCCTCTCTGTAAATTTGGGCTGCTAACGTAGGAACCAAATTTCATCCCTAACAAAATCTGTACCAATACAGTTGTGGAATTTTTACAGAAAGTTACAAGAAGTGAAAATCTAGTTCATCTTTGTTGCCTTTAGAGTCAGGTGAGTCCTCAATTTTCCAGGTATTTTATTTTCGAAGCGAATTAATTCTAGGTTGAAACGGCAGAAAACTAAACTTCTCTAACCACTGGTCGTCAATATGAGTTGTTAGTTTTTAAAAGTCGTGTTTCATTTAATTACATTTCTTCATTACATTAAGATTTACATCTCTGGGGCTGTGGAAAGCATGGCAGTTCCTCTGCTTCCTTTGTCTCACTTAAAACACTCAAAAAAAAAAAATAATGTTCTGAACATAATTGTAAACTCTTGTATCACATAATGAATTAAAACTGGAGCTGCCCCCACAGCTAATATAAGAGCTACCTATAAACAAAGAGAGTTGCCCTGATGATGCTAAGTTGAAAAGAGTAAAGTGCAGGGTGTCTTAGTACTGTCCCCTCATTACCTTCATGGAATGAATATATAGCTTAGATTTTTTTGGTGGAAGAACTGATTGACATGTATTCCCAGAGGTGATACCTGCAAGAAATATTGAGACCTGGAGAAGGGGCAAGTTTGGAATATGTTTCTGAGTTGCAGGGATTGGGATGATAGTCTTGGATTTGAACTTGTAGCTTCCCTGGAAGGCAGCTGGCGATCTGAGCATATAGCTCAGGAGAGAGAGTTTGTTATATTTCTAATACTTAGTACAATGCCTTCGCACATTAAATATTTACTGCGTCAGTATTTTCCAGATACGTTCATAATATCCATTCTTTTTTCTTTTAAATCAGATAAAAAACATTAAGTCAAGAACTACAATGTCCATTTGTTACCAGTTTTGCTGCCTACCACATAGACCCCTACAACCAGGGGACCCTCTCTCAATCAATCAGCTGGTCAACCAGTAGTTCTTTTTGAGTCCCAGTTCTGTGCCAGCCACTGTGCTGTTTACTTTGGGGAAACACACACTCCCTATAAATCTAGTAAAGATCATCTGTAAGAGTGTGTCTATAGAAAGTGACTGTTACATGGATTCAGAGATGGAAGTGGTCACTGTGAGCTAAGCCTGGGACGGGTGTGCTCTGGCTTCTGCAGAACTGGTGGGGTTTCAACAACTGACAAGGAGAACAGTCCAGCAGAGGAGGGAAGTGTGATGTGGCTCTGAGCCTGGCCCGGGATGAAAGTTTAGAGGCAAAATATGGGAGAGCACCTTTGAGTAAAGATTATGCAAAGTCTCTGTATTGAGTGGTATAGTAGCGTAGTAATAAAGAAGTTGGGCTGGTAGTCAGATTGCCTGAATTCCTTTTTTTTTTTTTAATTTTTTTAAGGGGGGGTAATTAGGTTTGTTTGTTTGTTTGTTCGTTTGTTTATGATGGCAGTACTGGGGATTAAACCAGGACCTGGTGCATGCTAGGCACCCTCCCACCTGGATTCTTAATTCTACCATTATTTGCCACGTGTGATTTTGAGCTAGTTATAACCTTTCCATGCCTTAGTTGTCTCACCTGTGAAATGGGGAAAATAGTAAGACTCTCTCACAGGTTATTGAAAATTATATAAATTATACACACACACACACACACATACACACATTTGGCTTAGAATGGTGCCAGGCACATAGTTTAAGTGTTCATGCATTTTGACTCTTTTTATTCTCTATAGAAGAAATGTTTAAAAATTAGGAGCTAAACTGCGTAATAATGTAAAATACTGTCTTCCTGAAGGTCAGAATTGCTTTTCTACAGATTATACCATTATGGATTTGATTAGAGATCTGTAAGAGATGGGAATTCTGGGTTTCCCCCCTCTCTCTGAGCCACAGAGAATGCAGAGGACCTCAAATTGTACTCCAGGTATTTCTTTGGCAGCATCTTGCATACTTAGAATTATTTTCTCAACTATTTGTAGTAATTTATTCAACGTCTGTCTTGAAAACAACAACTGTGTCAATTTGGTTCATCTCCAGTGCCTAACACAGTGTCTGGCAATTAACTGACACCCAGTATCTGTTCCCTGACTGACTAAGTCCACTGGATGCAAAGAGGCTGGCCCTTGAAGTGGGACTGCAGGTGTGGAGAGAGAGGCAGTGGGGAAGTGTGGGCCATGAGGTGCCAGAGCATCAGTAGTGCACTGCTTCCTCTAGTTACCCCTAAGCCTTTTGTAAAATTTTGCAAACTCCTATAATCTGGATTTAGCTGTACTGTGTGGGATTAGGTATGCATCCTGGGAACATGCCTGGGACAAAACTGTCCCCGGAGAACAGCAGCAGCCTGTGGAAACCAACTTTGGAAGAGCAAGTGATGATCAACTGAGGGTGGAGGATTTTTCTGGGGTGAAAAACCAACCATGATGACAAATGACAACAGAGCGGTTTTCTGGGGCTTGAGAGCATTCTTGTGAAAGTCTGAAAGTTACTTAAGGAGAGAAGGCTCACAGAATTATAATTTGGACATTCACAGAAGGGACTTCAGGCTGAAGACCAGAGAACTTGGGAATTTTAGGACCAAAGAGCAGAAAATAAATACAGAGGCATAAAAACACAAGATGGTGTGAGGAGGACATAAGTACATCTGACTGGTTGGAAATGAGGAGTTCTGCCCAGAAGTTTTGGGTATTAACACAGGGAAGACAGATTAATGGGGTCCTGGTCACTGAGGGCCATGCGCTCACAGCTAAGAAACTTAAATCTTCTAAGTAGATGATGTCTAGGAGTCATTAGAGACCTTCGAGCAGGGTAGTAGCGTCATGAAAGTGATATTCTGGCAAGATCAGTCTGACAGTGATAGATTGGGGTGAAGAAAGTCCAAGGTCCAAAGATTAAATAGAAGATTACGGTAATTGTCAGAGCGCAAACCTGACTGCACTGAGTTAACAGCAACGGAAACCTTCCTGGGCATCGTGGCATATGTGACAGTGGAGTGCTCATTAGGGAAAAATCAGATACGGCCCCCACAGAGGGTAAA